AAAATTTTTTTTAAAAAGGCGGGGGGGTGGCACGCGTCGCAGGCTCCCCCCACTAAATCCGCCCCTGAAAACTCTCCTCCTTTGATGGGACATTCCTATTAAGGTATACCCCTATTTAAGGATATTCCCAAGTGATATTATTGGTCCCATATGTGCACACATTTTTACGGGTTTTAATGTAGTTTATTAGGTTTCTATTGTCACCAATTAACACAAACCTGCAATTAATTGAGGGACTGATTCTAGGGAAAGGGAAGTTCACTATTGATAATATTTTTTGTGCCCTATATTTTAGGGGTTTTAATGTAGTTTATTAGATTTCTATCTATTGAAAATTAGAATTAATATCTGTCTCTTATACACATCTAGATGTGTATAAGAGACAGCAACTATAGTGACTGTACTTTCTAGAGACTCTGAGACATACTCATGTGAGACCAATGTTGTTTCTCTTTGCTGCCTACTTTCTTTTTATCTGCCACCTTAATTTACTTTTGTTTTTATTATTTGTATTTTTGTTGTCTCTCTTCTGGATCAATGTTACTATAGCTATTACTTTGCTCTATATAGACCTACGGTCGGCAACCCATGGGTCATGACCCAAGTTTGGGTCGAGACATGGATTTGTACCTGGATCTCAGAAAAATAGAAAGTCTTAAACGTTGCATAATTTAATAAGTTTAGCTATTGCCTTACATTTGCGCTGGCAATGTATTATAATCTCAGTCAGACCATTTCAAAATACACAAAATATTTGTTTTGTTCTTATTTGTCTACCATTGAGGGGCATTTAGGATTTAGTGCCTACTAAATTAGTGGCCATTATGGAATCAAAACATGACAAAGGTGCTAGCAACCAATATCAGAATTAACGCAGTCAGATTAAAATTATGGAAATCAACAAATCATGAAAATGAAATTGAAAAGCTGCTTTAGGTAAATATTTTCTTTAATAAATATGCTTTTCAAATATCATATTGTTGTTATGATACACTACAACAATACTTGGATATAACCCCTATTAAGAGGATACCTTCAAGACCCCTCAAAAGGGATAGGCCTCCCCTATTCAGGGACACAAACCAAAGCGTAAAATTGTACCCTTATTGTGGGTGTTGGTATAATGTTTACAAAATTATAAAATTGTATTTTTTTATTGACCTAGAAATGAGTTACAATAGAATTATAACTATTTCATATCAATAATTTGCAATGCAAAATGCATTTAAATTTGAAATTAGCAGTAATGTAGGCCTAGTTAAACTGCAATAGTTATATTATGTTCCCATGCTTTCTATGCATATAGCATGAATAGAATAACCACTCCAAAATAAGGGTGTAGGCCTACATATATGATATTGATTAGAATCAGGCTATATGAAAGCACACACAAAAAAGGAATTCCCCATGATAAGGGGTAAAATTGACAATATTGGTTGGAAATAGGCCAATACTGATGTTCACACTAAGGATTGAGGGGAGAACATTCTGGTTTAAAAGATTTTTTTATAGATTGCTGTAGTTTTTGCGATATTGTACAATGAAAACCAAGTAAGTGTCCCCTTACTATGGGTTGCATATAGATTTTACCATTTGGCACTCCCAGACATCCCGCCCCATTAATAGATGTGTCCACTTAATTGGGGGTGGCCATAGTGTTAAAAGATATAATTTCCTGCATTTTACAGAAAGTGTCTCATGAATAGGGGTGTCCCAAATTAGGGTTCTAGTGTATATTGGTCATACATTTCTAAAATAACTTGAGGTCTTGGGTCGGAGAAGTTATGGCAAAAAAAAAAAAAAAAATTGGTTGTAAGGAGTCAAAGGTTGCCGACCATAGATATGGACAGACTGAAATGTGATGGACATATACCTGTATGTCATATCGCATCCATTAAATACACTAGCTGTACTCAACGCATATGTGTAGGAGGCTGTAATTTGGGGTCAATAACCTGCAATTATATAATGATATAGACAATTTTGTGGTTTTGAATACAAGTTCCATGTCATCCTAGGTTAGCCATTATTCACCGGCCTAAATATACAGTACCAACAAAGACAAATTGAGTATTTCTAAACCTTGCCTATGTATACATGTAGTGAAAGTGCTGGCTGTTTTTTTTTTTTTTTTTATGTTCATTTTTTTTTTTATGAATAAAGATCTTTTAAAATGAAAAATACAAGCCAGTGGCGTATCCAGGAATAGAGGGGCCCAGGCTGAGATTTTCACAGTTAGGGAGTCTAGACTACCTCAGTCCCACCATTTTTGGGGCTGAGACAAGAAAATATATGATTATGACACTGGAAATGGCACTCTTCTCCCTTTCCTCCTCCCCCCAGGAGATGGGGGAAAGCCCTGTATTATAAATACAGCATATTTCCTAGATGTAAACTGTTTCACGGAGTACATTTTATAAAATGTATCATATTCATGGAAGTTCATAGAGAAGAATAAATAATTAGGGAAATCATTTTTTATTTTTTAGAGACAAAACCTCTAAGGACCATGACAAATTTGGTCCCAAAAACATGGTCTTTAATAGGGAGGGACCTGTTTAATTATGAATATGATGCATTACAGTACATTAAAAAAAAAATCTACGACATCTAATGATTACAGAAAAGATTAGAAAAGATTATTGTGAAACCAAGAACAGTGGTTAATAGTTTCTAAGAACTTGTGATTGAAAGCCCATTGAACGTCATAACACAGATCCTAACAAGATCTGTGGTCATGATAACATACCAGCTTATTTATAGACAGTTACTTTACTGTTAACATACAGTAGCCATAGCTAAAATGGTCATGTATTGTACAGAAGCTATGGCCAACATAATCACAAACTATACAGTCTGCGTTGAGTTATAAACTTACTGTATATTTTTGCGATCCCCAAGTTTGATGTTTTTTGACGATTTTTGTATGTCGGCATATAAGACGACCCCCTGTTTCACCATCAGAATTCTTAATTTCTGCTGCTCTTCATGGTTTTAATACTGCATCTAGCTGGCTAAAAACAGAGCCAAAATTTTTTTTAAAAAGGCGGGGGGGTGGCACGCGTCGCAGGCTCCCCCCACTAAATCCGCCCCTGAAAACTCTCCTCCTTTGATGGGACATTCCTATTAAGGTATACCCCTATTTAAGGATATTCCCAAGTGATATTATTGGTCCCATATGTGCACACATTTTTACGGGTTTTAATGTAGTTTATTAGGTTTCTATTGTCACCAATTAACACAAACCTGCAATTAATTGAGGGACTGATTCTAGGGAAAGGGAAGTTCACAATAATAAGTAATAAGTAACAAGTATGAAATGAACATTTAGGTCATGGAAAACAGCAACAATAAACCAGGAGACACTGTGGCCTATAGTGCTTGCCTAGTTTTTATTATTTTTTAACATTTGTGTTAATAAGTGGTCCCCTTCCCCCCAAAAAAATGTTTCTTTACCTGAGGAAATAAACCTAACATCAAGTGTGTTCCTTGGATGATTTTTCACTAATTGCCTAAATTCATTAATAAAACACATGCTGCCTATCTGTAAACAACACTAACGAATTACATTTAAATTTTGGCGTTTTTATACTGATAAACACAACATAATCAATTTTTTTTAACCGCTTTTTTAATGAGCGTTGCAACTGCATTTTTGTTTTTGGGAAAATCGGTTTTCGTGGCGGAAATTACACTACTGTTTTGTTTTTACAATGTTTATACAAACACGTTTTCCAAACTGTATAGTTTCTTTCTCACCAACAACACAATATACTTTACATGATTTCCGGTGACGAGGAGTGTAATACGGTGTGCGACGAGAAGCTAATACATTCGGCTGTGCATATCGACACAACAAACGAGCAAACAAAGAGGACAACAGTAGGGCCAGAAGAGCGTAGAGACCTAGCCCCAATATCCCCCACAAAATAATTACAAAATGATTTCGTCGCTCCACACGATTGTTGATGTTTTAGCTTGTAGGCCTAGGACATGAACAAGAGGACAAATAATTTTGAATGTTCACACGTGATGCGATTTAGCTTTGCAGTGGTTTGAGTTCACATTTCACCTGATAAATCACTTTTTATGTTGCACCTGAAAGGTGCGCAGCCAAAATCGGTTATTTGTCGTTCAAAAACGCTATCCATTGCATGTTTTAATCGCTTTTTTTATTCGATTTCTCAAACTGGCCCCATTTCTACTGCGAGTAAAAAAACAATTTAAAAAAAACCATTTTTAATCAGTTTTTCCTTCCAGCAGAAATGGGCCCTTTAGTAGGGTGAAAGGGTACAGAATTGCAACAGGTCGAAATGCCCTCATTTTGTATGCAAACAATTGAACATTATAAAAGCTACAACCACTAAATAGGTGGCTCCCTATTGGAATTTTAATAGAGTTCACTCGAAAACTCGTCTTTTGAAGGACATGTGAAACCATGAGAGTTGGACCTACGTTTTTGTAGGGTTCAACCTAGTAGTGAGTTTATGTTTTCATTATAAATATTGTTTTTTCATTGGTGATATAATATAGTCAAATAACTTCATTGGTTTCAAACTACCATGTTAATGTGTTCGCACATTTGCTTTATTTGCGACAGAATGAACCAGTTAGTAATGCAGTGGGAGCTAAACCAGCAGTACAACTGCAACCTCAGGAGGTGGTCCTAAATCTTAAGCCAGGTACAGTAAAACAATGTTATACTTAACACAGTATACTTTAATATAGGCCTCGTTCACACTAGACTGTTCCAGTCCTGATCAGAAGCTAACTGTTAGAATGCTCTATCTAGATAGCAGGATCTAGATTGACTAATCGGTATCGGTTAGCTGAATCGGAGACGCTAACATTTGTAATTTGAACTTATTATTCCAAATCACCAATCAGATGCTAGCATTTCCCATAGCAGTAGTGTATCTTCTTACCTATATACCTACGTACCTGTTATAATCCACAAAAATCGACGATGTTTAGGCTGTCCTCGCATATGTATTATATTTTATTGCTATTATGTATTAAGTCCTGTTTTATGGGCCTAAAGCTTATAATTGAATGAGTATGAAGAAAGGCCTCTGCTTCTGTGAAATGCCCTTGCTTCAGCGAACCAAAGCCTACAGTATAAGGGTGCAACTGGTGATCAATAATTTCATGTCTGAACATGAAGCTGACCTTAGAAATATCATTCGCGATAATGCTACCTGTTAGTAACAGTTAGCGGTCGTGTGTGAACATAGCCATAGACATTTATAACTTCAACATTCTTTTCTAATGAAGCTCTGATAAAGCTTGAGAGCAAGTTAAGTGAAACAGTAAGGGAATCCAAATTCAGTGAGGTGGGCTAAGTTTAAGGCCTGACAATAGAGAGGTTTCGATTGAACAACGCGGTAGGATGTATAATGTAATGACTTCACTAAGGAGTCATCTGCGTATGTTAAGTTCTCCGCGTCATTCTAGGACAAAATTTCACCAAATCTATGTTATGCAGAGAATGTAGGACGGTCATGCATGATTGTATCTGCTCTAGCGTCGCGTCGTTGTGCAAATAAAAAGCTCTCTATTGCTGTACTTGCTTGTATTTCCTTATTAAAAAAAAAAAAAATCTGTATAAAATACTTAAAAAACAACAAAAGTGTTGATAAACTTTAAGTTTACAATTCATCAAAAAATTAAAATAGCAAAGGAGATACATAAACAAGCATATAAATATACTTCTATTTATATACAATAAAATATCACAAAATATATATGATAAAAAACATGATAAAAATCATATAATTAATTTTTAGCTCAGATGAGGAGCTCTAGGAATACCCTGCTGATTTGTTGCTTTTTTCACAGCTGACACACCCTAAGCTATATTCATGCCTCTTGACCAGTGAGCCATAGTTACTATGTCATTTTGAAGGAGCTCTAGAATTACTCGGTTGACTGATAGATCTTTTATGCTGATTGATTAAATAGATCTTTTTCATTTTTAGAGAAAAATAACAAGCTCATCTGGGAATTGAACCAGGTACCTCTGATACCCTAAGCTACATTGGCCTCTAGACCAATGAGCCATAGTTTTTGGGTAATTTTGAAGGAGCCCAGGGTTACTCGACAGATTGATTGTTTGTGTATACCCCAGTATACTTGTTCATACAGCCCCTGTTGTCTTGTGATGGGATTGATACTTTGAAGAGTGATTTATTTCACTGTTGACATATCCTTGGCTCTATTGCCTAAAGCTGAATAAGTAAATGATTGATTAATTGTTTGATTGATTAATAGATCTTTTTTTTCGTATGGGCAAACACACTCTACTGCCTCTATTATACTGCCCTCATTGGTGCTTTCGAGAACTTGTATTGGGATCAAATGCAGTAGTTAGATTCAATTAGTTAAATATAATCAAACTGAAACATATCAGAAAGTTGTCCCTTAACATTTCCACCATGGACATTACACTCAGTTTAAAAAGCTTTTGCCAACGGACTATAACATTTTTGTTGACAAAAAACTGTTGTATGCCCATATATAGGCATGATGTGCCTATATATGGTCATGATGTGATGTCAAATACAATTAGTCTAGACAGGGCTTTAATATCAGTGTTGGTAATAACTACTTCCTTATATTTATATAATATTTATCATTACAGGTGAACCAGCTTATATCGATCTTACAGTGCGGCAGGCAGAGGATTATCCGGTGGATTTATACTATGTAATGGATTTATCAAACTCAATGAAAGATGATTTAGATAAGCTCAAAAACCTAGGATCACAATTAGGTAGGATTCACTTCATGATCTTCTCTGGATTTTTTTAAAAATTTGATAATCATTAATAAGCAATTATATTTATAGTGAGGTTTTTCGTACACTAGAAAATAGAAGCTGATCGAGGAGCCATTTCCTGAAAAAGTTTTTGAAGGAAATAATGGTTCCTAAGGCTTCTATTTCCTATTTCCTATAGTGTACGATCAACCTGACTATAATTGCTTTATAAGTTACTGGTGAAGTCCATCACCTTTTCTATGGCCCTTTAATTAAACTTGGTTGTACAGCAGTTGCTATATATATTCATACAAACTGCTGGTTGCTGTGGCCGGTTGTTCAGTGATCACTGTTCCTGTACATTAGCTGCGCATATTAGAATGATTAGTTAGAAGTTGTATGTGCACTTTCATAAGTCGATCACCTTGCCATCTTATAACCATTATGCCTTTCTAAGCGGCGGCTTTTCCCTAGGACGGTCTAGGCTTCATTTGTTTTAACCAGCGCCGTAGAGCAAGATTTGTTAGGCTTGCTATGTGTGTTTATAGTTTGGCTTACCAACGAAATATTCCATCGTGATTTACTGTAGTAAAATCACCCCAGCTTTTTGCACACAAGACGCCAAAAATCGGAGGCAATATTAATGAATTAGGAAAATTGGGAATAGGAAAATTCAGTGCAAATGAAGGTTATGACGTCACCATGACTTATAATGAGGATAATTATATTCTTGAAGCTAACCAAAGAAACAAAGAAAGCAGATTTTAATACTATTGTCTTTGAATGTTTTTTTTTTTTATTAGCTGGTGCTTTGAGGAATATTACAAGTAGCCACCAACTTGGATTTGGTTCATTTGTGGATAAAACAGTAATGCCATTCGTTAGTACTGTACCTTCAAAGTAAGTGATATTCCATTCTATATGGGTACTGTATATAAAAATGTTTATAAACATCAAATATTATATTGAATTTTTTTTATGAGGCTTGCCATGCCAAAAGTAAAATCAGTGACCAAAACAAGAAAATTGACTTTTTAGTATATTTATGTTCTCCACATTATAAGCTTTAAAATGATGTGTCATTTACTAAAATCGACTATTGCCAAAGTTATGAGTAAAGTATACATATACTGCAACATTCTTATGCTCAGTTAAACATTTAGCGACAGTTGTTTTGGAATGGCGAGCCTCATATATTAAATACTTTATTGACATCATTTTTTCACACTGCCACTTTTTCGTACTGTATTATTCAGATTAGTGCACCCATGTGACGGATGTGGTGCCCCGTATGGGTTTAAAAACGTTCTACCACTCAACTCAGACTCAGAACTCTTCACGGTAAGTTTACCTGCTGTATAGAAAAATAGACTTATACTTTTTTTTATATATATATAAAATAAATGTATCAAAATTATCATTGATTTAATTTTTGAAATTTTAAATCTTTAGTCAGAACCTACCTTATGAAACCTCTCTCCCTTGAATTTCAACGGGGTTTTGATCTGGGACCCTGACCAGAAGCTGTAGGCTGCCCCCATTTCTCTGACCCCAGTGTCAAAGCTGTTGGACACCTTGTCAGCTCCACCACAGCACATAACAGAAAAAAATACTCATGATATTAAATGTTACAATATGATGTTGGGGCTTGTTTTCCATGTTAATATGGAAATGGTAAACAGATTTTATGTCTGATTGTCAGAAATATAGCAATGTACCCCAACCTACCCTACATTGTAAGCGATTTGGTGCGGTGGGAACAGTCTGATTTCCCAACCTCGCTATACACTTTTCTTGGGTTCTTGGCACTTTATCTGCGTGTTGCTTCTCTCCAACCAGGAGTAAGAATGGGCCCTGAGGAGCATGTGAGTATACTACTGTAGGTCAAAATTACTCTAAACATAGCCCACGGACGTGGTCTATGATGAACAAAATTCTCACGCCTGCAGATTTGTCGGACTTGGCATGTATAAGGGCCCCCAATTACAGTCAGGGCCCCACAAACACTGTGACGCCACTCTACTGTATGTTGGGTGGGTACAGAAGAATTTTAACACTTTCATTGCACAGGAATTTTACCACGACAGCATAGAGTATATCTGCGCAAGTGCAGTATACTAAAAATGGGTACCTGGTAGGGTTTGCCTGCTTCTGCTCCAGTAGGCAGCAACGCTGACGCATGTGGACCCAATGGCCACGGAAAGCAGAGCACTTCATAACCTAAATAAAAGACGCTATTTAATTACCAAATATCTCCAGTACCTTGTAAACAATGTATAACAAATTGTTCTGTAGAGGACTGTGCGAATGCAGGAGTCATCTGGGAACTTAGATGCTCCAGAGGGCGGTATGGATGCCTTGATGCAGATCACAGTGTGCAAGGTAAACACCAATATTATTCCTAGTATTATAATTTTATTCAACAAATTTTTATTGAGGCAACCCATTCAGCTTAAAGAATTTGGTTATTAAAGTGTCTTAAACATACATTCGAAATTATTCTTTACATATCTTAAATAATATAAGTATAACACACAACAAAAAAATATAAACTACCAGACAATAAAATGTTTAAATTAATTAACTGTATTGTAAAATGCAGACCTTATTCATTTCATACTAAATTATTTCTCAAAATGTAGAGTGAAATTAAGTGGAGGGATAATGCCAGGCGACTGGTCATCTACACTAGCGATGCTGCTTTTCACTATTCAGGTGATGGCAAGGTGAGTGGACCTATGGTAAATCTAATAAATAGTGCTGAATTGTGTACGGATGTGGTCTATGATACATACATACATACAGTGCTTAGTTATACGTCATCGAAATAGCATTGCAGTATCCACTGCTGCCGCCTCGGTGGTCTAGTGGCTATGAGACCACGCTAGTTAACTGGAGGTCGTGGGTTCTATTCACAACCAAATCACTTGCAAATTTGTTTTCACAAGTATTAGAGAACATACTGAGTTTTCAGTATGATAACATGTCAGGTAGAGCAAAACGTCGCTCCTATGCCCATATGTTTTTATTCTAAAAGGTGTTTTTTTTTTTGTTTTCTTTAAGTGGATTGTTTATGAAAACATACTCTGAAAACAGTTAAGCCTTTACAAGGTTTTTTTCCCCCTAACATTACTGATACATATATGTTAAAGCATTTACAAATATTATTTTTCAGCTGGGTGGTATTGTGACTCCGAACGATGGAAAATGTCATACCGCCAATGGACTTTACACAATGAGTACAGAATTGGTAAGTTTTTTAAGGTAACCTAGTAAATTGTGTAGTTGAATTTATACAGCACGCTAAATTTTCACATGGTTTCAAAGTGCTTAAAAAACTTACTCTGATGTTTCACATACTCATTTTTTATTAATATTTGCCACATTTCATTTGGTAATATCATCTTTGTCTGAAAGTTGGAATCTTTATAGACC